CGTAGTCATCATCGGAGGACAAACTGTTCTAACTCTCCGTGCCTGCGAGTAGCGCATCAATCTCCTCGGGATAGGAAATGTCACTCCAGACCACGTTTGCATCTCCGTCCCATCCATGCTCGTCGGGGCTCTCAAGTTCTACTAGAAGCTGATCGGCGTGTCAAAAGATGTACGCGACATAGTTAGCTCTCATGATCTGATGATATTAGACTGGCATGGTGGCATCAGACTTAGGTCGATGATCTTCTTCTCCTTGTTGAACTTGTTCCAAAATACTTTCTTCCTTGCCTCATTGACAGAAAGGATACTTGGATGCCCGTATATAGAACAGACGAAACATACCCAAATGTGAAAATAGATTGATAAAGGCAGTGTTCTTGGTCACGGCTTTCCACACGGCCTGCTTTCTCCTTCGAAAAAAGCTAGATACATAATCATTTCCGGAAAAGGCATGCATTCCCAGAAGAGCTTTTCTGTAACCAAGGGACAATTCATTTGACGTCACGTCGATGATTTTCCTGTTCTTCCTGCTGCCATTGTCAGAATCTGTGTGTCCGAAAAATAGTGACCAATGAACAAGGTTATTATGTCTATATCACCAGATGGCGACCGTACCATTGCAGTTGAGGTAGGTGGCAATTGGCTAGTGTGCACAAATGCAACGAGTTTCTTGTCCGCTTCCTCGCGGTCGCTGGTTAATTCTGGTAATAAACTCATTGCATTTGTGCATGCTAGCCAATTGCCACCTAAAACAACTGTAATGGTACGGTCGCCATCTGGTGATATAGACATAATACCTTAGCTTGTTCATTGGTCACTATTTTTCGGACACACAGATTCTGATTGACAATGGCAGCGGGAAGAACAGGAAAATCATCGACGTGACGTCAACTGGATTGTCCCATGGTCACAGATGAGCTCTTTTGGGAACACATGCCTTTTCCGGACGATTATGTATCTAGCTTTTTTCGAAAGGAAAAACAGGCTGTGTGGAAAGCTGTGACCACGAACACTGCCTTTATCGATCTATTTTCATGCTTGGGTACGGAGATGACAGCAAGGGAGAAGTTGGTTCGGGGTTTAGAATGGTTCGTCTGTTCTATATACGAGCATCCACGTATCCTCTCAGTCAATGAGGCAAGGAAGAAAGTATTTTGGAACAAGTTCAACAAGAAAAAGATCATTGACCTTTGTCTAATGCCACTATGGCAGTCAAATCTTCATCATCACATCATGAGAGCTAACTATGTCGCGTACATCTTTTGACATGTTGATCAGCTGCTAGTAGAACTCGAGAGCCCGACGAGCATGGATGGGACGGAGATGGAAGCGTTGTCTGGAGTGACATTTCCTATCCCGGGGAGATTGATGCGCTACTCGCAGGCATGGTGAGTTAGAACAGTTTGTCCTCCGATGATGACTACGAGGATGATTTGGATGTGGAAATTGAAGACACAAGTGAATTTTGAAAAGGAAGGTGCAAGGTTTGTGATCAGAATGTACATGTTTTTTAATGCCATGCATAACATGACCTCAATTTAATGGGGCAACAGTATTGCTTTTTATCCAAAAGAGCAGAAATCACTAGCTTGTTTAAGTAGGATCTTCCCAATAGTTCCACTAAATCAACGATATGTGTATCAAACGGAGGCTAGAGGTTCTAATATATCTGCGCATATAACTTCGATTTTTGAAATTAGGGCACCGAAATTGAGCAAAATCACCAACTTCCTTGGCTATCTAAGGCACATATGTAGGCACTAAAACGAGGCTGTACGCACCAATACAAGGCTGAAGGCCTCTGTATTTTGCTGTGTAACGTCGATTTTTGAAATCAGCGCACCGAAATTGACCAAGATCACCAACGACTTTGCCTATCTAAGCTAACTAATGATTTCCATCTACTTGCACCAAAACGAGGCTGCATGCACCAAAACGAGGCTGAAGGCCTTGGTATTCGCTCGTGTAACATCGATTTTTGAAATCAGCGCACCGAAATTGACCAAAATCACTGGTTTCCCTAGCTAAGACAACTAACATGTTCCATATGTATGCCCCAAAACGAGGCTATATGCATCGATTTTTGAAATCAGCACCCCAAAATTGACCAAAGTCACATATTCTCATAAATTCCCTGCTCGGTTACGATACCCCCCTTTCTCCTCCTGGACTATAAGTGGCAAAATATGTTCCAGTACTAATTCTGCCTTACACTGTTTTGAGACCCATTTATTGCATACTTCTGTTGAAAAAGGAGAGACAATTGATACATTGACAAAGGATTTAGAAAAATTCTGGTCTGTCGAGAATTTAGGCTCCTCAAAGGACTGTGTTATCAATGAATTTGAAAAAGACATTGTTCATGATGGAATTAGGTACATAGCAAAATTTCCATTCAAGCCAGATCATGAGCCACTCCCAGATAATTTTCATACATGTGAAGGTCGCTTGAAATCCTTGAAAAATAAGTTGACATCAAAGGGAATCCTTGGTGAATACAATAACATATTGTGGAGTATGAAAACAACGCAATAATTGAACAGGTTCCTTACATGAAGTAGCTAAGGGTGTAGGTAAAATATACTCTCAGGGGCCAGTTATGCATGAAGATAAAAAAACTACAAAAATATGTGCGGTTTTTGATGCCTCGTGCAAATCTAATGGTCCATCACTCAATGAGTGCCTTTATTCAGGACCGAACCTCATTGTGAAGATTTTTGACATTTTGCTAAGGTTTAGGCTAAACAAGATCAGAATTTTAGCAGACATAAAACAAGCTTTCTTAACGTGGCATTATCTAGGGAACATATTGATTGTGTATGATCTTGATGCAGAGAATGACAAAATAGTCATGTATAGGTTTTTGAGGGTCGTTTTTGGTCTAACAGCAGTCCATTTTTATTAAATGGGACCATAAGGCAGCATCTTAACAAATACTTAAATCAGGAAAATCCACTTGTAGAGCATATTAGAGATTATCTGTATGTAGACAATTTAGTCAGCGGTAGTGATAGTATAGATACGGCTAAAGTTTGTTATGACACCAGCAAAGCAATTATGTCAGAAGCAGGTTTTTGACCATAGATATCTTATATACACTAGATAGTGCATCTAATTATTCTACAATTCAAAAATTGAAGCTGTGATTGCAGGCTCAGGATATTCCCATGAAATGAGAAGACTTCTTATACTGCATGACTTCTCCCTTCATGAAGATACCATTTTAATTATAAAGGTGATGGAAGTTATACTCTTGTCACACACCTTTCCAAGGCCTTAAGTCTCCGCAATCTTCATGAACAGATTCCAAAATGACTTCCGGAGGGTACACCAATTCCTTCAGTGGTTGCGACTACAGTTCTGGCCATGCAAAACAAGAGCAGCCAGCTCAAGGCATGTCCTGTACATAAGATTTTCACTGTTGTATGAAACTTTGGTGAGTTTTCACAAAGGAAACCTGAAGCAAGATCTAAAACACATAACCACATAAACACATGGGGTCATCTGAAGTTGAAGTTCATGGTGAAGGCATGTTAGTGTCGGCACACACATGAAGATTGTCACTATGTGTCAGCGAGTCACAGTGTGTACGAAATTGTCAGACTAATATTATGCAGGTATACCACTGTATTCACAGCTTCAGCCCAAAAATTTTGTGGCATCTTGGCATGGAAAATCATAAATTTTGCTGATTCAACAAGTGTTCGGTTAAGTCTCTCTGATGTGCCATTTTGTTCTGGTGTATAGAGGTTGGTAAATTGATGGAAGATTCCTTTACTTGTACAAAATTTGGTGAAATTGTGGGATATATATATTCTCCACCATTATCAGTTCTAAGATTCTGGACTTTTGGACCAATTGCATTCTCAATCATTCGCTCCCATTTGTGTCATAGCTGAGATCGACAACAAATTCTTCGTAATTTCAGGTACATACAATACTTTATTCAACACCGATGTAACAACACTTGATTCATCATAACACTGTAATCTCACTTTGCCTTCTCTTTGTGCTTGAATCACTCTGTTATCACCAAGATATATCTTTGATGGTTGCTTGCACTCAACATTATCAACAATTAGATGTCTTTGGAATGCCACGTGCTTTGTTGCACCACTGTCAATAAACCAATGATAATTTTGCTTACTAGATGTTGATGTAGAGTTTAGAGCTATCTCTTGTTTTAATCCTGTACTTTCTTCTGACACATAGTGGACATTTCTTAACAATGTGACCAATGTGCTGACATTTATAACATCTTTGACCTTGCACATGATCTGTTTTATGGCGAGCGTCCTGTCGATAATTATTTTCCTGATATCGACCACCATGTTGATAAGTTCTCCCTCTACCTGAGAAATTTCCCCTACCTGAGAAATTTCCCCTACTTGAAAAATGCTTCGTTTCGACTGGAATCTTGGTCATGACCATGACCTTGTTTCTCTTTCCATTTCATGTACTCTTTCATTAACACGCCTTTGATATTGTCCCATTTCAATTCTTCGACTGTCCTTGCGTTTAAACTAGATATAAAATTATTGTATGATTCTGGAAGACTTCTAAGTACGACTGTAGCGAATTTTTGATCAGAAATTTCTTCTTTTAACTCTTGCAACTGTTCAGCCAACGAGGTCATGTACGTCGCATGATCCAGAATATCCGTCCCCTCTTTCATCGTAGCTGCGTAAAACTTTCGGTTTAGTCTAACGATTTGTGTTATAGAAACAAATTCAAATTGCTTTTTTGCAATGTTTCCCATGCGACTTCATGCGACTGTCACTGTAGTAATGTGTACTTGCAGACTTGCAGATTGAAGTCGGCATGCATTTTTTACTGCATTTGTCGCTGTTTCTGCTGGAGGAGTCTCCAGCAGAAACAGGATTGATAATTCTTCCCATTTAGATTTTTTATTTTTGTAATTTCCGCCATATTTAAATTTCGTCGAAAACAACAGCCTTCTTTGGCACACGTTTACGCTTCGGTAAACACAAAATATACACGTCTTTATAGACAAGTAAGACAACACATATTGCCTGTTTATTCAGCGGCGCCTGGGCCCATAACTGGTTAACCGCCGCGAGCTGTATTCTGATTATTAAAAATGGCAAAGGAACTTGTTAGGACTCTTTAAGAGTAAGAGAGCAATTTTTCATGCAACTGGCAACAAAATCACTAAAACAAAACATACATGCATGGGCACACTTGCACTAGTATATACTGATTGCTTTTGTCATAGTTCCAAGTTGCAAGAATGGATGCCTCCTGCTTTACACACTGTAACACTTCCTTAAATGGTTTAATAGAGTGAACATTTTCGAACGTTAAATAGCAAACATCTCACAAAGAAAATAGGCTATGTACAGTAAGAATTTATTATTAGTGTTGTTCGAGAAAGTTTAGTCGACATCTGCAATATAGAACGAAATTGTTGTCATAGATGTGAGTAGGCAAAATAAAATTGATAGTCTGGGACTGAGCTATTAGTTACTGGAATTTAGAGTGCTCCTCCTTCCGCTTATTTATAAGTATTAGTCATAATATTCCTACTAAATTAAGAATTGGAGAAGTTTTCTCACTTTTTTTTTCAATAAGTTCTTCACTTTGAGCATCTCATTCTCCACATCCTGGGCTAAAAAAGTGAAGTATCAATCAAGTAAGAACAATTGTGAAGAACAATATTATTTTACGACTACATTTTTTGAAATGAAAAGAACCAATTATTAAGAGACTCAAAACATAACAGGTATAAACTCTTTTACCCATGGTCTTTTTGGGTGAAAGATTGGCATCTTCCTCTGGTTCTGAGTCTGACTGTAATGCTGACGTCTTACGCTTTTTCTTCTGAGAGCCTAAGGAAATGTATTAATGTGAACAAACTAAAAAGAAATGTACTGGAGGTCAGGTTTTTGCACATAAACTAAGACGTGAACTTTGGTCCAGAATGAATGTGCTACGACCATCCTTATATATAGATCAGCTATAGGGGTATATTGAATACTGGATTTGAACTAAGTTTGGATATTTCAAAAATGGTTTGAATGTGAATATTTCTAGTAGTAATATGGATATTTCTAGTACTTGGTAGGAATATGAATATTTCTGATACAAGTTTGAATATTTATTAACTTGCAAAAATTTATATTTATCAATATTTGGGTTACTGTGCCTTTAGGAATAGCGAATCTTGAAGGTAGGAATCTTGAGTACCGGTACCGTACTGTAGGTATGAATATTGAAGAAAAAGTATTCTTCAACTATGCTTCTATCCTCGAATAAGGACACACATAACAAATCATTGACATTGTATTTCATGTATTTGTATTAATCATTTACCACAATTTGATACTAACAAATAACAATTGTAAGTTGAAATTGTCCTCTTCGCTTGTTGTCAAACTTATTTTACCTTCTTGCTTTTCATTTTCTTTTTGCCCCTCCATTCCATTTTCGCTCTCACCATCGTCTCTATATTTGTCTTCAGTAGCAGGACTGAGCATGGTTTCATAATTAGTCAGCCTTGTTTGACAGTCACCTTTTGATCCTATGAAAAGCAATTTTCAGCATTAAAGATCTTAAAATCAACCGCATACCTGGGCCAGATTTCACTCGTTCGTTCGTTGAAATCAAGTCTTAAATAGTTTTGAAATACATACCAACAAACATAAGACGGCCAGTCCATCGACCTTTTGCTCCTTTAACTGTAAGCATCTCTCGCAGGTTTACTTCTTTCTCTACAATGTTCTTTTTTTCAACAATGGAGTACTTATCCTCATCTTGAAACCATATAAGATAAAAACTGTTTTCCACTGGGTAAGAACCTGTGTATAAGAGATGGTGGTTGTAGAATGTTTTCATTTCAGTCTTAAATACGTTGGGGGCATTAAATAGAATAGTTAACTTTTGCATTTAAATTATAGCTTACTGCGTTATCTATTTTGGCAATATATAGCGTGACTCAACCAAGGCGGGCGGTTCTGACGCCAGTGGCAGTGCATCTTGTCATGTATATAGCAGCCACCCCCAGCGTGCCGTACAATAGCCTGCAACTGTATATTGGTATGATTGCGTTGTTTGCTCTTGTGGCGTGTGAGACAAGAGTCAAACGTGACTGCATGACAGTTTCTGCCATATACGAAATAATTTTCTTGGGAGCTACCGTAAACCTCAGAATATAAGTCCCTCTGTGTATAAACCTTCCGAATATAAGCCCCCCCCCATGTATAAGCCCATCATGTTCAGACCATTTCAAATATAAC